CACACACACACACACACACACACACACACACACAAATAAATAAAATAAAAATAAAAAATAAAAAGCACTTAAAAAAATATAAACAGCCAGTCCATCTTGGTTTAGTTGTAACAGGAACTACTTGCTCCCACTGGAGCCAAAGCAGTCAGACCCCTGCTGGCCTAATAGCCAGACAGGAGATTGTAATAATAAAAACATTTCCTAGTATATATTCTTGAAGGTCTAAAAACTATGAACAAAACTTCAGTTATTAAATTTCAGCTATTTACCAGGAAAAAGATAAACACCCCTCTGATTTCTTAAAATGTTTAATTAAAAACTGGTAAAATATACTTTTGGAGATGCTAATTCAGTAAGGGGACAGATTACTTTTTTTTTTTTTCTTTTTTCGTATAACTTTTATTTTCCAATTTTGCATGCTTATATCTGGTAATCTAACAGATTACTTTTATTACTTAGCTTCAGATATCAAAAAAAAAAAAAAAAAAAGGGCTGGTGGAATGGCTTGGTGGTCCGGAGCACCTACTTAGAACAAGCTTAGCAGAGCACAGGGACCGCGGTTCGGTCCCCAAACACCACATGCCGGCCAGCCCTGCCCCCTGGTGGGCTGAGCTGGCCACACACACACACACACACACACACACACAAATAAATAAAATTTTTTAAAAAAGAGCTATAAAAGATAGTTTTTTGCTCCAGACAACTCACTTCATACTTTATAGGACACTAAGAAAACGATGTCCTATAATTAAAACTGGGAAAGAACCAGGGAGAAAAAGCAAAAAGACCAAAAATGACTGCCTTTGTTATGGCCTCAAAACAGACCCTAAGTCTGATTCTCTGGGCTCCAAGAAGAGCTCAATGACAATGAGGTTAACCTACTACTGCTGTCAGAAGCCAGGCCACTGTAAGAGGGACTGCCTTAAGAGGTCCACAAGGCATGCCCTGACTGCCAAGGCAGCCACTAGAAGTGAGACTGCACTCTGAGGTGGAGGCCCCAGAGCTCAGACTCAGCTTCCCAGATGGTCCAGCAGGACTGAAGGGCCCTGGGCCTGCCTCCTCCCTCTGGCCAGACTGACATCTCTACCTGTCATCTCCATGGAGGAGCCCTGAGTAATCATGACTAAAGGAAAAAGCTAGCCTACTGCTGGATACTGGCACAAGTCTTTTTGTCTTTCTCCAACCCTGAGCTTCATTCCAGTCATCGTCATCTTATTTTAGCTATAATTGAGATATATTGTTCATATATAGATACAATCTTGTCAATGTAAAAAGTGTCAAATAGCTTTGGGCCTATAGATAAAGCCAGGCCTTGTCTTTAAAATATAAAACTCAGAACCAATGTTAAAAATATAAATCCCTCCATAGTGCCCTTTGCTTACAATAGCAGTCATATTCAAAACTGAATAGGACATTGGTTTAATCTGCCTAAATACTGTGTATTTCATGATAAGTATATTAAGTTAGCCCGGTTGATTTTTTATGTAACTTAGGTATTTCACGCTGTTAGTAAACACAAGCGTAACTAGGCAAATATGCCAAACTGTACTTAAATTACTTAAAAGGATTGACAGTAAAGATAAGGTATTAATCTGGTTTTCCATATGTTCTTGAAATTTAGAGATAATTATAAGTATAGCTAGAGAGATTTATAACAAACTGTCAGACTCCATAAATCAAGGGGTCTAAGAGCTAGTGAGTTATGATTGCTAGGTCTCAAAAGGTTTATAAATGTACCTGTTAGATCAAATGTTCATGCTTTGATTATATATGTTCTAATTGCTCAGAACATTTGTTCTGTCCTAGAAGATACTAAAACCCAGGTAATCATGCAGTTAACAAATATGCTAGATTACGATTCCTTTTGCTGGGATCCACCAGATTTTGTCTATAGAAACACGTATTAAAGCCTAATCTAACTGTCCACCTGATAGAGCCCAGGTGATCTGAGCCATCTCTGGGTTTCCTGCCTCATTACGAGAAAAGGTATATTTGTGTTCCTTGGGCAAGGCTTCCTGCAGGAACCAAGAAGTTGTACCTTACTCAGTGGACCCCAGATATCTGACACAAGCTGCAGAAGTTAGAAGGGTTTGCAGGAATAAATTTGTCTGAGTTGAGGTGTTTCATAGTAGAAAAGATACAGAATGGAATTATAGATGAAAAATGAGAGTGTTAATACTAGCAGCCTACAGAAAAAAAGGCCAGTCAGAAAAAAGAAAAAGTTATGCTTCCCAGGACCCAGACAGAGAAAAGAGACATTTCAAGCAAAAAAATGTCCAAGGCTGCTGCAGAAGAAAAAAAAAAAGTGTTTATGATGGAGTCAGAGAAAGTTTCAGATTGAAGTGGTCATGGGTCTTCCCCCCTCAGCCTGAAGAAACCCATGTTAACAGTCAATATAAAAAAGCCTGTTAAACCTTTAATAGATGCTCATGTAAATTTGTCAGTTACACAGCCAGTAGCCTCATTTGCCAACCAGAAAGTACTCAGTGTTTTCCACAGGTCCAGTAATTCATGTGCTCCAGTACCCAATGGCCATAAAAGATTAAACCCCATATTTAAGAGATCTCTACTAATGGACCTACAAAATGTTCTGACTAGTGTTATGCATGTTTAATTGTTTCTTTGGTTTTGCTTCCTCCAGACTTAAAGCTATTCCACCTACCCAAGATAAAAATTGCCTGGTATCTATTGAGGGCCTTTTAGGTAAAACCTCTAAAGAGTGTCTCTGACTGCTAGTCAACCACTGCGACCAATTTCAGTCTGAAGTAGCCAGAATGGTCATCGCCCAGTCTGGGTTACTTCTTCAGAGAAAAATGTTGCAGGCAGCTGAGTTAAATTAAAAATATTATAAACAGTCAGATAGGGCTAGGCCCTCAAGAAGACAAGGTTAAAGACAAGGTAACTTTACAGTCTAAAAGAGACAGATGCTCCCCACTGTGGGCCAGATCTCAAGACAAAAGAGAAAACTACCTGGCTGATGTGACAGCTCAAGAGGTGGCACAAAAACCAGTGGGGACATGGGAGATATTGCCTGTTCTGGAGTTCTACAAAACCCGCCTACTCAGACGCTGTTAACTAATGTTCCTTGCTGTTGGAGTAAATTAACAATGGTGACCCATACCAAAATAATTTAATATAACATCGCCTACAAGTTTCTGATGAGTCAATGATTTGACTCGGCTACAAAAACCAGTGGGCAATGTTATAACCTGACCAAATTCCACCATCCTGTTCTGTATGCGCCGTCTTAGTGCACCATGTCAGCTGCTGTAAAATGTGCCTATCTCACAGAACTTCTGTTTCCGTAAGCCATTACTGCCAGCCCTCGCCCCACCCTTGACTTCCAATGTGTGCCTATCTCACAGAACTTCTGTTTCTGCAAGCCCTCACCCCACCCTTGAGTTCCAAAATGTCCACTGCTGTTCCTACACCCTTAAATTCCAAGAACTTCTCCAGACCCCTAACCATATCTATCTCGTCTCAGCAGCTGCCATGTCTCCTTGAACTCCCTGAGTTGTACCCCGCCTGCTTTGTGGATTTAAGCTTTATAAGCTCCACGCTCCCCCACTTCGGGGCGCACTTAGGCACTTTGTGCCGGGTGTTGCCACTGAGTACCAGCTAAAATAAAGCGCTTCTTTAACTTTTGGACTTGCCTCGTTGTCATTCGATTTTTGAGCTACAACAGGCACCAGCAGGGAGATTTCCTGGGGAGCTGAGAATCCAAATGTATACAGAGACTGTATCCAATCATATGCAAGAAAAGTATGTTTTGTTGTCAGAGATTTTTGCTCTTTTTTAAGGACATGTTCATTACTGGTTTTACCTTGGTGGTTCTGTAGAGGTTAAAAAACTCAGTGAAGTTCTTTTCAGACGCATCTGTGAAGGCTTTCCGGACCGTATCTGCCCAAAGAGAGACAGGCACATCAGCACGGCGGCTCCTGTACACCTCCCTAGGCTGCAGCATGCATGGTGATAAAATGCTCAGCAACACAGGCCCAGTCCCTCTAGCATCCTTCTGCAGCCACACTTTCCTCCAACTTCCCATTCTCCCGCCCCTCCTGCTCCTCCTCCCCCTCCCCCCTCTTCCTCCTCCTCCTCCTCTTTCTCCTCCACAATAAAGACAAAGCCATGCTCCATGGAGGCAGAGCCCCTAGGAAGATTTACAGCTAAACTCGGGCATATCTCTCTTTCACAGTGAAATGTTTTATCCAAAGTACAAGCTGTGTTTCCAAGAAAGCTATTTTTTGTAAATTACAAACACATCAACACTTAAACATGAAATGATCACATTATTCTTCAGTTTCTCAATACAATCTATGTGTGCTCACTATTCATTTGAAAAAGAATTGCAGAAATAGGTTTTTATTGAAAGAAAACACATTCACATGCTCATTTATGGAAGCTTCCATAGAAATTTCCGACAGGACGTTACTAGTACATTGCCGGTGTCCACAGGCACGCATGTCTTTATTGACGTCCAGCTCACAATGTTCTGAAAAGTCCACGGCCACATCTGTGAGTCTCAGCTGTGTTACGTTACTGTGAGGCTGTGAGCATCGTTCCTCCGGGCATAAAAGAGGCCCGCAAGAATAGAGTGTAGAAATGAGGGGGGGGAGCCTTATTCCGCAGCCCGGAAGTAAGGAGCATTAGAAGCACCTGGGCACCAGGTGTCCTAGGCTGCCCGGACCTGGTCACCTGCAGGAGCCTTGCGGGACTGGGCTTTGCTGAGACGGGAGGTGAGGTGTGGGGAGGAGGCCAGGCAGGGCAGCCTGAGAAGGGAGATCCCCTGGGATTTGCATCTAGCAGGCCACACATTCAGGAGGGGGTGAGTGAGGAGGAGACTTGAGGAGCCCAGGGGACTCACACCTGCCACAGGGGTTTCAGCCCTGACCTGGCTCCTCAGAGCTTCAGCATCAGCACAGCCTCTGAGTGGAGAAGCACCCACAGGCACACAGCAGGGAACACAGATCTGCCCCCCAGGGGTCCACACACAGCTGAGGAGGCCTCAGCTCTTCCTTTGTGGTGAGAGGAGCCTGGGTTCTGTGGGGTGACCATGCCAGGCCTGCATGCCTACCATGAGGCTGGTGGCCAGACAGAGCAGGTCAGGACCAGAAGCCGATACTCACTGCCATCACCCTCCCTTCTAGCAAGGGAAGGGGGCTGGGCTGGAGCTGCCACTGCGTCCTCTGCACTGAGGCCTGCCAGAAACCTCCAGGGTTGCAAGTCCAGAGGGAGCCATGGGCACTGTGGGAGGGTCGCACAATCCCATGCCACTGGGATACAGCAGCCCCTGGATGTCTTATCAGCTTGGCGATGGCCAAGGAATTTACCAATATCTGAGAGGATGGTGTTGGGACTCTGACTTATAGCTGGTCATTCATGATGTGGGATGGAGCTATGAACCTGGGGACAGCCGTGAGGACAGCCATGGGCACTGAGCCCTTATGCGGTACATACCACCCCTATAGTACCTACTCTATGGTACTATCAGGGTCACCCCTGCGGACCCCAGCATGGCACCTGGTCAGAGGAGATCAGGTTTTGTGTAGCAAATGCCCAACGGAGGGCTCTCAACCTCCATTCTGCTTCACTCTACCTTTTCCGTGCCTGAGCAATAGTCGCCACCACAGGGCACCACACTCACCGGTGACCTGGTGCAGCATGTCCACGGCTGGCTCCTCCAGGGCCTGGAGTTGCCGTTTGATGATCTTCTCAAATGTCCTGAAGTTCACAAACCCGGGCAGCTCTCGGCCACGATGCTGGTTTTCAAATTTCCAGATTTCATGTTGTAAACCATCATAACCTACAGCAGGGAAAGGTAGCTTTGCATTAGCGTAAAACAAGACCTTGTAGATTTTTCTAATAAACACATTGTGGTTTTCTGCAAACAAGAGTAGCAAGAAGGAAGTAAAATCAAAAATAATTCATGGTTTTCACATGGAAAACGACACTAGTACTACAGAAAGGACACCAATCTTAAGATCACTTGCTTCCATGAGCCCAGGAGGGCAAGCGGAGAGCCAGAGAGCAGAACTTTGGGAATGGATCTTGGAGGAGCACTGCAGTGTGCAACCTCATAAACCCCATCAGATTGTACACAGACAAAGGATTGTCATAGCAAATGCTCCTCACCCAGAACCAGGGGTCTCTGGGACACAGGATCGCCTTGAGCACTGCTAGAGCCACTTCTCCTGAGCAGTGGAGCAGGGAGTGTCCCTCAGAGGGACCGCACAGTGTGCGGGCACACTGGAGTGGGACACGAGGTGTGGGAGACCCCATCAGAGCAGAGACACACAAAGCCCTTGTCTCAACCCTGAGGAATGGGTGGCCAGGCCCCCCTGGGATAGGACAGATTTTTCCAGGAGGAATTTCATCATTGAGATTAATCCACATACAATCAAACTCATCCTACTCAAATTTACTGCTGATTTCTGCTGGTCTATTGAAAGGAGCAGTTAAGGCTTAAGATGCTTTTCTCTCTCCCTTACACTTTTTCATAACTTTTTTGACCAATTTAGCATGTTTATGTCTGATAACCTGAAGAACTAATTTGAAGATGACAGTGTACAATATAACAACCATCGCTGAATTCCTATTATTTTCTTTCCTGAAATTCTATATCAGTTCTTTTTTGTAAAAAAAAATATTTATTTATTGTGTGTGTGTGTGTGTGTGTGTGTGTGTGTGGCCAGCTCAGCCCACCAGGGGGCGGGGCAGGCTGGCATGTGGTGCTGGGGGATTGAACCTCAGTCCCTATCCCTGTGCTTTGCTTAGCTTAGCTTAGCTTGTTCTAAGTAGGTGCTTTAGACCACTGAGCCATCTCACCAGCCCTCTGTATCAGTTCTAATGTGACTGTTATGTGAGTACTTTTCAGTTCTTTTTCAAAACAACATATAAAATTAGTATGTAAGAAAAAAATTAGTCCAACATTTGGACTGATCTCCTGGGCTGAGGGAGCTCACAGAGTTGTGTGAAGCATCCAGCCATTGTACGACTTCCCATTGCCTGCCAAGGGCATCACCTTCGGTTGGTCCACTGCCCAGGTGAGGGACCCCGGGGTCGAGTGTCCCTTGTGGTTCCATGAGTAATACTGCCCTCACCATTATTCTGGGAGCTTCTGTGTGGCCCTGTGTTTCCAGTTCCCTGTGGAGTGGCTGGGCCATACGCTGGCGATTGAGGGTGACTGCCACAGTGCCATCCAGAAGAAGCGGGCCATCTCAGTTCCATTGCTGATGCCAGGTTTTCGGGGCCTCTGCCTCCTGTCCAATGTTTGTCATGGTCAAACTTCATATTCTAACCCCCAGGGTGGGACTTCGGTGATGCCTGGCATCATCCTAATTGGATTACTGGCCATTCTGTAGATCTTATTCGACAAATGTGGATTTGAATCTTGGCCTATTTTGTCATTGGATTGTCTTTTATTCCAGGTGCCTACTGGCCTCATTTAGTGGCAAGGAACAGCACATTTAGCTTCTGGGTTGACGACTCCCTACTCCAGCCCTGCTCCTCCCCTCACATCACGCTCCTCTGTGTCCTCATAGAGCAGCACAGATGCTGGACTGCGCCATGACCCGGGATGGGGTCAGAAGGTGCGCCTCAAGCCCACATGTGGAAACTTCCCACAGGTGGCGCCATTCAGAGGAGGGGCTTTAAGAAGATGCCAGGTGCTGGAACTACACCTGCACAGACCAGCTGTGTGTAGAAACCCAGTCAGCAGGAGCTGTCCTGCCCTCCACCAGGTGAGGACACAGCCAGAAGTCACCCCTTGGAAGCAGCTGCAGAGACCTCACCCTCACCAGAAATCCCATGAACTGGTGCCTTGAACTCGGACTTCCCAGCATCCAGAAGTGTGAGTACTGGGTTTCTCTCCTTCATAAACTACTCTTGCTGACAATTCTTAGCTACAGCAGCACAAATTCAGATACTCACCCTTTGCAAAGTGCTCCTTGATCATAGAACTCCATGACAGGAACTGCTTTCGGAGTCTGGCAAACAGCCGGGTGCCCTCAGCGCCTACGTTTTCCTCCCCCTCCACTAGAGCACTGATGTCCTGATTAAATGCATTGATTTTCTGTCAAGAAGAGAAACAGCGTATCAGCAGCGGTATGTCAATTATAACAGTGGATGTGGCTTGGAGGTTGTGTGCGCTGCCCTGTGTTTTGGGAGCCATTTTCCTCATGGCCACTCAGAGACAAAGCAAGAGAAAAGGCCCTGTGACCAGGAGACCCCATGGCCCTGAAGTGCCCTGGGATCTTCACTGAAAGCCTTTGCAGAGTCCCTGCCATGAGCAGGACACCCTGACCTCTATCTCCAGGGGCACCCTTCTCTGTGTTAAGTGGGTCCAGTGTGTACGGAGGAGCCTTGGGCCAGAAAGGACAGCAAGTAAGACGCCATGGAGGACATCAATGTGGGGTCTTCAGCACCAACCCACAGGCAGTGCTCACCTCTATGAGGAATAATGTTTTCTCACTGTCATCTTCTGGGATGTCCAAGCCAAACTTCTGTAATTCCTCTGCTGTTTTCTCATGGAGATCCTTTATTTGATTTTCCAATAGTGGCAGAGATTTCTGGGGCAAAGAAAGAAAAAATATGGAGAATATAAATATGGACTAGGAATGGAACATGGTCCAGGGAGCTCTCTGCAGAGGATATGCCTGGTCCCTGTAGCATCTCGGTGTCTCTCAGAATGTTCTTGAGGCAGAGAACTATGCTAGGGGTCTCCCTTTCACCCCAGTCCACCATGTTCCTCCTCCTAACTCACAGTCACAAATCAAGCATAGGCAAACAGGTGACTCTCTGTCACCATAGGCAAACAGTGGCCTCTCTGTCTTTCAGTGGCACCCAGAATGGAGAGCCACCAACTCCTGACTCATCCTTCACGTCTCTCTGCAGGGAGAGCAGCCTGACGCCCCTTTTCGGGAGAATTGCAGTTGGGACATCTTGGGATTCCACAACTTTGATGCTGCTTTCAGCAGGGCAAAGCTATCAGGGGTTCCATTTTCTTCTAGCCTTGTGGGGAGCTGTGTGAGCAGCTCCGCAGCATTGGTAGGGTGGAATACGCTGGCCCAGATGCTAGCCCTGTTCCTTCCCATGAGCCAGGTGGCCAGGTAATAAGGGACATTGGAGGCTGAACCAGCACTCAGGGGTCACCCAGGGACATGAGAGGACAGGAGCACGGACACCAAGTGGGGCTGCAGGGAAGAAATCCATGGCTCCCAGACCGTAATGGAGAGCCAGACCCAGTACAGGGAACCATGGATCCCCTGGGGGGGGGGGGGTCTAGGCTGGGAGTCCCACAGGGTAGCAAGCTGCCCCAGCTGAGGTCGCCCTGGTGAGCTCTTGGCTCTCCATTATGGTCTGGGAGCCATCATCTGGCTTTCCACACTACCATGGGGGCAGGAAGGAGAGACTGGACCATGGCTCCAGGCAGAGGGGACAGAAGACCTCTGCTGCGCCTCGGTGCTCCCAGCTGCCCTCCTGAGTGTCTGCTGTGTGAGCCTAGACTCTGCCTGAGAAATCCTCCATCTCGGGCCTTGCAGTGAGCACAGGATCTCAGCTGCAGGCCAGGCCTCCTCCTTCCCATTGCTCCGCTCTCCTGGCGCACAGCGGGTCTCTGCACAGCGTGGGGTGGTGTCTGGACCCTCTAGCAGGACACAGACCCAGCCTGCACTTACACAGATGTGTGCGATGAGCTCCTCAGACAGCCTCTCTGCCAGGCAGGGCACAGTGGCCTTTCTGTCCTCCAATAGCACCCTGAATGGGGACAGACAGAGACTTCCATTGGGCGGTGGGCTAAGCACACACATCTGCGCATGGGGAGGTCAGGCGCAGTGCAGTACTTTCCAGCTGAGTTGCTGACACATGACTGATACCCCTCATACATCACTGGACAGAACACACCCTGGTGGCAGGGAGCGAGCTCTGGCGTGAGCTGCCTGAGCCCTCCCAGCTCAGCAGGCAGTGTCCAAAATGTACACAGATGCAGCCACAGGCATGTTTCCATGGCAAACACATGCACACACGCATCCAAACACACAGACACACACTCACTCTGGTAGTCCCAGGTGAACACTGTGTGCATACAGGAACAGGTATGCACACAAATAAGCATGTGTGCGAGGCCAGTGCAGGGAGAACCACTGCGGACTGAATGGAAGCCATGACACATGGGAGGAGGCCGTGCAGCGCTCCTACTGCCCCAATCTGTGTGACCAGGGTGGGCTGGTTCTCGTTGCTTGGGGTTGGTGGGGTCATTTAAGGTATCAGGCAGCAGAAGGCTGAGCAACCAACTTGCTGGTCAGAACAGGCACAGGAAACTCGAGTCTTACACTCTTAATTCAAAACAACAGCGACAAGATATATATGATGGAAAGTGCAATACTTCAGCCATTTTTAGTGCTGTGTTAGTGGCCTTATGTGCCTTCACCATCACCACCACCCATCTCCAGAGCCTTCTCATCAGCAGAGACCAAAGTGTCTTCGTTACGAAACGTCCCCATTCTACCTCTGTAGGGCTACTGCCCTAGGAGTGGCACTCAGTAGGCTCTCAGCGTCAGCAGCACCCTTGCTCAGCGTCATATCCCCAAGCCCCACCACGCTGCAGCTCGCAAGCGAACCTCCTGTTTCTCGAGACTGGAAAATATTTCAGCTCGTGTGCAACCCAGCATTTCTCAGTCCATGGACACAGGTAGTTCTCCTCATGGGCTGTGTTCACAGCGCTGCCCTGTGTCAGTGTGCACAGGCCTGTGTGATGCATCTGATGTCCCCAGCCTGCTTCCCTGCAGCATTCTGGAAGGACTGATGCCCTGAGGTTTCCACCCTGGCATGCCCTGCACTGGAAGCCACACCAATAGGAATTGTTTTCTTCTCATGGTATTTCCTCTTGGATGGGATTGTTGAAATGACCTCCCCCCCCATGTACCCCTCAGTTTCATTGATTATGTGAGGCTTGGGGGAATAATCCTTTGTGAGCTCCCATTTTAGCAGACAAACAAAGAGAAAATGATGTCACACACAGACATTCACTGACACCCTCGATCATGCAATCCCACACATGCTGGATATCTGCCCTCAAGGGACAATTTCCCCATGTACAGTGTCTGCAGTGGCATTAGCTAGGGATAGAAGTTACAGTGCACCTGAAGTGTGGGTGGTCCTCAAAGAAGGCCCTCTCCCTCTGCAGGGCCTCGGCAAGGCTCAGGCGCTCATGGATGTCCTGCTGCCCACGGCACTTGACGATCATGTAGCCCTTCTTCAGGTGACACACCAGGTTCTGTACCACGTCCACCACCTTGTCCTCGGTGCCTCTGTCCACTAGATCAGGCTTTGTCAGGATTCCTGGGGCAGAGGCTTCTGATCAGAGGACACCAGGGGTGGAGGGGAAGGCAGCTCCTGCCGCAGCCCCACATCCCAGGATTTGGGCCCACCCTAGCCTGAGGGGAGACAGAGCCCCTTGCTGGAAAGCCTTATGGAGCAGACACAGGAGGAAGCGGGGTGCTGACACAGGACAAAGGGGTGCTACCTGCACTGGAGTCTCCTTTCCAGCTCCTTCCCCAGCTCCTGGCACAGAGGAGCAAACTGTTCCTCCCTGTGTCCTCTGAGGACATGGGCTCTGCTTCATTCTCCCTCGATTCCCATGCCTAGGATGCCCGATCTGCCCCCAACTGCCCTACCTGTGACCTGGTCCTTCTGCAGCAGAAAGTCAGGCATCCAGGCCAACTGTGGCCTTGAAGAGCCAAGCAGAGCTCGTGACGTGGCACCTCAGTGGACACCTGAGCTCCTCCTCCTAGATGCAGGTGCCCACCCCCGGTGCCTGCAGAGCCTGGGCCCCAGATCCATTCCTAACTCCTCACCTATGGTCCTGTCTCCTTCGGGATCCATCTCCTGTGCCATGCTCAGCGCCTCTGTGGTGGCGATGTCCACATTGCTGGGGACCACCACCAAGTTGATGGTCGCCTCCCTTGCGATGTACTTCTTGATGAGGCGCTTGATCTATGAGAAATGGCACTGTCAAACTCCTGAAAAGAGTGGGAGGAATCACACCATCCCAACCTCACACTCGCTGAGCCCACAGTTAGATGTGAGTCCTTCCTGAGAAGTGAGGATGGAAAAGTGACCCCACCTGCTAAGTCTGAAGAGTGACAAAGTAAATCAAGTGCAGCAGTCATACAGCTGAGGGGCCAGGGATGACAGTGAGATCTGAGCTGCTTAAATGTCCCAAGAAACCTCAGATCTGCTGGTCACAGGGACAGCTCGATGCCACAAGCGCTGCCTGGCTCTGTCCCTGAACCCGTTCCATGAACTCAGATTCATCTGCACGTGTCTCCTGCACACCTGTACCCTCTCTTCCAGCATGAGCCTCCTTATCACATGGCTGTGTGGATGTTCACCACCTTTTACAGGTCCACTTTCACGAGCCATTGCATAAAGCACCAATCTATCAGATCTGTTTTGAGTTGTGCCTGTTGGCTTCATTTTCACCATCAAGCTTGGGAGCTGATGAGCACAGGGCTCTTCAATTCCACCCCACACCACGTATCTCTCTCCAACACAGCACTGGGCTTGCTCTGCCCTCTGGCAGCACTTCCTGCACTCTAGGGCAGGTCTGAAGGGCATCTGAGGTCTCACCTGGCGACCAATGTCAGCGGGCTGATTGCCCACAGGCACCCGGGTGATCCCAGGAAGGTCGATGAGAGTGAGATCCGGGACACTGGGGGAGCCGATCTCTAGACTAATGAGCTCATCCTTGATCCCCAGCCCGTCTCCAGCGATGATGTTCTGGGCTGTGGAAGAGGAAAAGGCAAAGCTCAGTCCTGGAAAGATGAATACTCCTACCATCATGGGGCCTCTCGACAGGAGCTGCAGGAGCCAGCTTCTAAGATCAGAGATAGAAGCCTCCTCGGCGCACAACTCCACACTATCCAAGCTGTGACAGTTCCCATGGAGAGGCCTGTGGGTGCTGTCCACGGGAATCTCAGCCTTCAGCAGTGCCCAGCCGAGCCCAGACTGCCCGGGGCTCCTTTATCCCTCCTCCTGTTCAGGGTGGCAGTCACAGGAGGAGATGAGTGAACACACACAGGATCCCGCACACTGCAACAGCATTTTCTACCCAGAGGAGGTGTCATCTCCAACAGGAGGAGCTGCTGCTGTGGCAGCCTACTACCCCTTTGCACAAGGCTCCTCCCCTGTAGGCAAAATGTTTGTTGGGTATCTGGAATACAGACGGAATGTGACAGCAAAGGCAAATGTGGGGGAGACTGTAATCACCCAAATTCCTGTGCCAGGGAACTGAGATTGGAGCTCAGGGCCCAGCCTCATGTAAAAATGTCCTGTGCAAGGGCCAGAGGGTGGCTGGGGGCACTGACCCGCCCCTTGTCAGGGCAAAGGGCTTGGTCCTGCCAGCCACAGTGTGGCCTTGCCAACTCCATCCTGAGGGCTGCTGGAGAGAGGTCACCCTCAGCACACACAGAAGCAGGAGATGTGGTATCCCACAGGGGGCCCTCATCCCCCCCGTGCTGTGAGCCGTGGAGATGTGTGTGTGTCCGCGCCATGCTGCCCACCCTCTAGGATGCCCAGCATTCCTGCATCTTCACTGCCCCACACCTGCGCTGGCCCTTGTCCCGACTACACACGGCATATTCCTGCAGTGGAGGTGTGCTCAGCATCCAGCGCTATGTGCCTGAGTGTGATTCTGTGGACTCTGAAGCTGCTGACTGCCAGCCTTCTCTGGTCCCTCTGCTCAGGACACCCACTGCCCTCTTTACCCACAAATCCCAGAGTTTCCCGGAGTGCGCTCATCATGCCACCCATGGTACACCTATGTTAGCAAGGTCTTCCCACACTGTCACCTAGGACAGCCTGCAGAAATAGTGAGCATTGGCATTGGGTTCCTTGAACCATGAGAAATGCGCCATTTAGCCATGAGGCTGTTGACCAGCCTGCCATGCAGAATACAGTTAAATTGAGTCTTTTGCCACCTCAAGACAATCTATTTCCTATCCAGACTGAAGAAATTTTGTGTCACTATTGAAATCTAAGACTGTGGATCAGTGCTAAATAGTGATGGCACCTTCTAGAAACAAAGGCCTCCTGGCTGATTGTGAAAATCACAGGGTGACCCACTCCCTATCTCCAGACAATGACACTTAACCATGTGATGTGACAGGGGATAACAGGGAACTCACGGGGAGCCTTGATTCCCCTGCAGGGGCTGCTCTGTCATCACAGTCGAGAGCTGGGCTTCTCTTGACCTGCGCTGCACACTGACTGTACTTGGTCCAGGGGACTCTCCCCCTACCAGGTGGCTGGTACTGCGCACCCGCATACACCCTCTTGGCGACAAGGGCCACAGGTTCCAGTGGAGAGTGGGGACAGAGCTGACAGGGAGACCCCTGTTGAAGCAGCAGGACCCTGCCCCTTTGCCCACATCCGCGTCCTCTTGCCTCTGATCTGTGATCTATGAAGCAATGTCAACAGGCTCTTGAATGAGGGTAGCAGGGCCCTGTGTTTGGAGACAAGCTCTAAACTGAAGATTCACATCGTTCTCATATACTTCCTTCATTGTCTCACAGTCATGTCCAGGTCCCACATTCTGTGCCCCTGCTTGGTCTTTCAGGAAGGAAAGCAAAGGAAGGAGCGAAGTTACAGGGGCCTTGAGAACACAGGATCCATTGAGACTGGGATAGTGGGACCTTCCTGGGTCCCACACTGCATGGCTAGCCCTGACATCCTGCAGACAGTGAGACACACAGGGCACTTACCTTTGAGGATTTCCTCTTCCACCTTGGAAACATCCAGGATGTCTTCCTCAAAGCCCAAGTAGCTGATCTTGCCTCTCCACTCCTCATCCTGCCTCAGCTTCTTCAGCTTCAGCACCAGTGGGCACCTGGTCACGATGCCTAGGGAGCACACCTGTGTCAGTCTTCTCCTCAGGTCTCAGAGCCCACATATGGGGCTTCAGACCATTAGTGCTGACATCCGCACAGTGCCGGGGATGGGAGGGGGAAGCACAGAGCTCTCTGGATTCCCCCAACTACACTGAGACCTCATGTTGGGTGACTGCACGGTTATGCAATTTCAACAAGCACCCAAGGGACTTCCTACTTCATGGGTAAAAGCAACCACTCAACTCAGACTTCCTACCTCCTTCTACCGTCCCACTGCCAGTACAGGGGACAAATCCACTGAGAACGCCAGCAGCACCTGCACTGGTCCTCCAGGTCTCAGACACATGTTCCACTCACCACTCAGTCCAGCAGGCCCCATGACCTCTCCTGCTAACCTTTCCCAGATCCACTTACTTCTTACATCCCCATGTCCTGAGCTCAGACTCTCACCGGAGCTCAGACCTCCTCCCATGTGCTTTCACTTTCCCCACAGCCTTGCACCTCATAGAGCACCACTGAGCACACTCCCGCTCTGTACCTCCCCAGTGAGGGCCTCAGGAGAGTCACCCAGGGAAGGCCTCAGGAGGGTCACCCACAGGTACACAGCACAGCTGGGGCCCATCAATTTATTCAGACCTGCCCACACCAGATTCCACAGAGCCCACAGAGATGTGTTCAGTGAGATGGTGCACAGTCACTGCCCAAAGGTGTGTGCAGAAGCCCTCCCCACAAGGTGCCTGTGTGGGAGACAAGGCTTTGAGGGAGGCCTCCTGTTAAAGGAGGAAGCAGCAATAACAATGGTGGAGTCCCTAACACCGTGTCAGGTGCTCTGTGAGGTGGCAGAGACCAGGATCCTGCACAGTGGAAAGGCCAGGTGCAGGCCGGTGAGGGGCTGGCTGCCTGCAATCCATAGGGAAAGACCACAAGCTTCATCTTGCACATGCAGAGCCAGAGCTGCGGGAGGTCCGCCTCGGGCTTCTCTGAGCCCTCCCCAAGCTAGGCAGCTCAGCCTGCCTGAAGAGGACTCAGACTCACCGCTGCCCCTGGGGAGGGCGACTCCTGACAGAGCCTCCAGCACGGAGCTCTTGCCCGAGCTCTGGTCCCCAATGACAGCGATGGCGGGAAGGGCCAGGTCCTGCTCCACGCCCAGGGCCCGCAGGGAGTCGATGAGGTCGATGCAGGGCCGCACCCTCTCCTCATACTGCACGCAGAGGTTGTTCTCAGACACCTGGGGGCGGGGGAGAAATGCAGAGACTCCTCTGTGCTGCCTGTCTGCTCACGGGAAGGAGCCGACGTCAAGAAGGGTGAGAAAGGGCTATGAGAGTCCCAAAGGTGGACTGAAAGATGTTTAAACTGATAATGAACAATAATACACATAAAGTCCTCAACTGAGAGAAACTGTGACATCGAAGCTCTAAGAAATTAAATGAATGCCAACCTTAGAGCACATGATTCAAGCTAAACAAAGCCACATCACAAGGTATTACTACAAACTGGTTATAAAACAAAGATATCAGGAGTATTCAGAAAGTGGCATATAACATGCAGAGGAACAAAGACAAGATGTACAGCAGGCTTCTAATCAGAAACAGTGTCAGCATGGAGACAGGGAGGCAATAAATTCCGCCAGAAATATTTTTGGATGTGTTTCCTTCTGAACTATGACCCTCATTTCCCAATATTTTTAAATTCCTGGAAAAAAAAAAAAACATGAAAAGACAATTCTGTACTGAATAAAAATATTTTCTTCAATAGAGGCAGTACCAAGCCTGTCTACCCCGGAGGACTGGTAGCGATCACAAGGTGTTGAGGGGCTGGTGTCTCTCCAAGTCAGCATGATGACTGTGGCATTGTGTGCAATGAGGTTGGATTACCTTATTATTCTTTGTCCGTTTTTGTCTCTGTTGAGACAGGGTCTCACTCTGCAGTTTGGGCTGGCCTTCAGCTCACTTTGTGGCCCAGGATGGCCTGAAATTCACAACCATCTTCCTTCCTCAGCTTCCCAAGTACTAAGGTTAGAGGTGTGCACCACAAAGCCCGGTGTGATTATTACATTTTAATTTTATTTATTTATTTATTTGTTTGTGTGTGTGGCCAGCTCAGCCCACCGGGGGCACGGCTGGCTGGCATGTGGTGCTGGGGGATTGAACCGCGGTCCCTGTGCTTTGCTAAGCTTGTTCTAAGTAGGTGCTTTAGACCACTGAGCCATCTCACCAGCCCTGATTATTACATTTTAGATAGCACTTTAAGGTGGTACTTCTTTATGAAAAGAAAACAGGCAAGCGTACACAATGATTAGGTGTCAAGCTCCGTGCTCAGCACTTTGCATGACCTCTCCCAGCATCCTGGTAGGCTGGTGAAGTTACGAGGGTAGTTATAGCCCATTTTGTAGATGGGAACATTGAGACTTGGAAGTGTGAGCAATGTGGCTGAGAAGAACCAGCCTGTGTGGACCTCAGACAGCAAAGTATTCCTTGTTCTTCACCTTTTTGTGATGTTGCTTTCAGGAAATCATCTTAAGATTAAAAAATTCAAAGTTAATGCAAAGTGAAGATTGTTTTGGACATGTCAACCCTGAAACCCTTCATCACCCAAACACCAGAGGGAACAACAGTCCTGGCAAAGCGTCACCTACACATTTGAATGGACATAGTGGTAGCTAGTGTACATTTTCTAATCTCCTAAAAGTCTGTAAAAGGTAACTGATTTTCTGAACAAAGACAACAGCAATAGAGTGCAAGGTTTCTGACACAAAGGAGAAGAACCTGGATAACATACAACACAGTGGTAGCGGAGAAATGTGAGTACACGACTGCGCAATTCTGAGGTGACACACAGCTATATTCAGCCAGGTAAAGGCACAGATAGTAAGGATATATCCGGTAGACTCTCATATAGCATGCATGTCAACAAGGGAGAAAGTGCCCTACAGTACACAGATTCAAGCAAAAGAAGGCAGGAAGTCAAGAAAGCAGAAAGAAAAAACAAATGCTTCAAAGAGGAAACAAATACCCACACAGTAATCTTGAACCTAACAAGTCCTATTCCCCAGGGCTTGACCCACCAGTGGTGCACGCATGACAGGCTCATTAGCTGGTTTTCAATAATTTCAACACTCACAGCACTAAAAAATGGTAAAATCTGTGTACTACAGCTGTGCAAGGTGCCAGGTGGGTGAGCCATCCATGGACCAGCAGGGCTTTGAGCTGCTGAGGGTGAGACATGAGAATTATGGGCTCAACATGAATGCAGTAATTAGAAAAGGTCAGAGCACCACTTGGGCAGCCCTTCCTCCCTGTGGGCCCTGCCGCCATTTCCCATATCCAGTCAGGGAGAAGCTTACTCTGACACAGCGCACCAGGGTGCTGGAGTCCTGCCCTGCTTCCCAGAGCTCAGGGCCTGTTCCCTGGGGCATTGTTAGAACACAGGCAGGAGAATCCCAGAGTGAGGCTGCTGAAGAGCTACGTGCTTGCTGCCCCAACAGCCCTACACTGATACCTCTAGCCTGGGCCCAACTTTGGGAACTGTGTCCATCCCCCTAGGGGGGAGCACCAAGGTGACAGGGCCCTGGACAGGAAAGGGCCATGTCCTCAGCATGTGGTGTGAGTGGACGCTTCAGGCTAGACCTTGGTCTTCAGCCTGGCACCACTGGGAGTCAGCAGGAACCTGAAGAGGTGGGCCTGGGGGAAGGATTTGTGTCACTGGGGAAGGGAGGATCAAGTGGATAAAGGAAACCATGCCTTCCCTTCTCTTGTTTTTCTTTCCCAGATATGAGGTGTCACTTTGCTCTGGGACACCCTTCACCATGCTGTGCCAGCTGGTTCCCAAAGCAACTAAGACAACTGCATGTGGCCTGAAACCTCTGACACTATAAGTAAACATTTCCTCTCTATAACTTTATTAGCTAAGGATTTTTGTTACAATAACAGAAATCTAACAAAAGGCTGTGAGTCCATCCTGCCCCACAGCCTGAGGATCATAGGTCAGTAAGGGAGACACTGGTGGGGAAAGGAGGGACATGGAATGAGGGACCTTATGGAGCTCCAGAGGCGGCGAGTAGCTGTTGCCACTGTTCTGTGATGTTCCACAGTGCTGTGCATTGGAAAGCCTGCTGAACATCACCTAGGAACAAGCTAACATGAAACAGGATCATGGTCTCGGGTTGAAAACATTTGATTATAATACACAGAATGTTCTGAGGGTTTGACATCACTGCCAATTACAACTCTCAGTAACCATGTGCTCTTTGAGGCCAATTTAAACATGCAAAACCAGGCTAAAAGTGGAGAAAGAACTGCTCAGGGTGCCGATCAGACATCACATGGCTTCCTTGGGGAGAAAGTGTTATAAGGACACTTCCAGGCTCACAGCTGCACAAGGAGCCCCATCTAGACAGTGCTGCTCTCACATCCCAGGGTCCAGTCAGGTCCACAGGAGCTCATGAGCATCGCCTCTGCCTTCCCCAAACAAAATCATACTGAGTGCACAGCACATTGTCCTAAGCAGCATGGCAAGTGGCCCAGGTCTGCATCCTGCCACAGCAAGGACTAGGAAGCACTATGCCAGGGAAGGAGCTCCTCACCCTACTTCCGTCCCTCCACCCACCACACAGACCCCCTGCAGCCCTCAGCTGGACACAGCTCCTGTCCACACAGAGTGTGACTCTAAGAAAACAACTTACCAGGGCCTGGGCCTTCTCTGGATTATTAGCATCTCCACTGAGCTGGAGATGATCGGACGGAGCGGCTGAATCTCTTTGAGCTTCCCCCATGGAAGGACCCATCTTCTTCCCACTTCCGCTGTACCTGCTGCTTTAAGAAAGATGGAGCATGAGTGCATTCCACACACAGCCCTCCAGCAGCCCCACTTCATACCCCAACCTGGATGAGTGTCCCCGCCATCACGGCTCCTCCTCACTCTATCTTGAAAGGGCCAGCTGGATGCACTGCTTGGGTGAGAGGCCAAGGGGGAAAGACCAGTGATTACAAAGGGCATCCATGGATTTGGGCCACCTGGGAATTTGTTCAAAAATTCCTCGCACTCCACTGAGCAAGAAGACCTGGTATTCTTGGGTCCTGGGCTCCATGTGAGGCCCCCTCCCCCTGCTTCCACCTATCTGCAGGGGAAGGGTCTGCCCAGGGTCCACTGAGCTACCATGCACTGTGATGCGGTCTCGAGGGTCCCAAGGCCAACACCAGTGGTTTCCATGGGAACAGTCTAAACAGGACATGGAGAGTCCACTGTCTTTGTCAGTTGTTTTTCATACAATGAGATATGGATGATAGTTGAGATCTGAAATGACAACCTAAGCTCTTATTCAAAGTCATTTCATCTGGTGATTTTACTGTGATGCAGGCACCATTCAGAGTGTGGGGGCATCTGGACAGCTGCTGAGTCCCCAAAAGAGAGAGGTGACAACTTCACACCTTCCAGGATTCCTCAGACTGACTCAGGGCAGGGGGTAGGCCTGGCTGGGTACTTTAGCACCAATGACCCTGCTTCCTAGGAAATGTCCATCCCCAGTGGATCAGCTCATTCCAAAATCCCATGAGGTAGCTCCTGGTCCCACAGGTGGGGTGCTCCTTCCACTGCCCCTCACACCTCAGTCACCCCAGGGATTGCATGGAGCCTGAAGGCAGAGTCTGCCCCACCCCCTAGGCCTGGGACTCCTGATCTCCAGGGTGTCCCCAAGCATGGAGGAATGTCAGCAGTGATTTTCTGCTGTGCCCCTGCCAGCCAGTCCTTCCTAAGAACCCCTCTGTTCCGGGAATGCCCTCCTCTCAGTCTACCAAGGACCTGGACATCATAGGACCAGCAGGAACACAGCTGCAGCGTGATTTTTTGGGCTTCAACAGGAGCAGCAGAAAAGAAGCATCCTCTGTGCCCTGACCAGAGTCTCTATGCACTCCTGGTCACAAAGCCATTCATCCGGTGACAGGAGGGACTGCAGGGAGCTGCTCCTGCCCCGCCCCACCCCCACCCCTGTAAGCAGGCATGTGTGTGGTGGGACAGGACTGGAACGTGGTCTGCACCCACCGTCTCTCTCACTGTTATTAGTACCCACAGGCACCTGCATCCCACCCTGGGTGCTGTCCCAGGATGAACCCTCTGCTCCCAAAGCCCCTGTTACATACATGCTGGGGACCCCATCGGGCAACACTCACCAGTCCTGGTGCAGCTCACAGTGAGAAAGCTGGGCTCAACTTTAAGCAGTGCAGACCACGCCCCGCTGAAAGTAAAGGACAGGCTCATGGCTCCGCCCCCGTTCCCAGAAGCCAGAGTAGGAGGGGCCCAGAGCAGAAATGAAACCTACTGTTCTCCTCCTGCACTCTGTTAGGGGGGCATGTTACTGTGGTTCCTGTTCAGGACAAGTCTATGCTAGGGAGGTCAAGGCCCTTTGAGAGCTACCAGTATTGCAGGCAGCAGAGTTAGATAAAAAATATTACAGGAAGTCAGACAGGGCCAGGCCCTCAAAGGAGACAACACAGAAGATGAGATATCTTACAACTGTGGGAGGGGCGGATGCTCCTGCTGTGAACCAGACCTAAAGACCTAAAGGCCAAACAAATGCTAAATGAGTAGTATCTGGGATTGATATTCTAAATAGGTATCAATCACCTGGAAAGACCCAAGTGAGTCACTAGCCCAACCCCCAACAGAAAGAGACCCTATCCCTCATTCCAACCCCCAACAGGAAAAGACCCTTTCCCATATGTAATCCCATTGGTTGACCATAGTTTTTTCCCACCTCCTGCCCACCTAAGTGAGTTCCCATTCTCTCTACCTTAGCCTCACATGGTTTTACACTATAAAAGTCCCTGGAACAGACAACTTCCTGGGAAACTACCCGCTCGGGGGTCCCCCTCCTGTCCCTCTCTTGGACAGGAGCTTTTTTTCTCTCAATAAATATATTCTGCTCATAACCTCTGTTTGTTCCTAAAATTCATTCTTCGGTTTTAGAGAACATGAAGTCGTGCAGGTCAGGTCCAGAGATCATTTTTCTCTATGTCATTTGGAGGTTCCCTATACGGTTTGGAGGTCACCCATCCGAGACCAGTTTTTCTCCCTGTATCACCAGGAGCCCCTGCTAAGTGCTCTGGGGTCCACATCTGCCAGTGAGGTGGGACACCTGTCCAGGGTTGTGAGCTCAGGGGCTGAGACTTTGAGCAGAAGAAGAGGGCAGAAGCTCTGTAGCCAAAGGTCCGGCCCCCCAGCTCTCACTGGGCCAGGACAGCCTGCTTCTGACCACAGGGCTCTTTGCTGAACAGGAACCAGAAAGCCCCGGGCAACATGAAACCCAAGAGCCTCAGGCTTCACCAGGCCACAGAGGGCAGGCCAGGAGGATATGGGGGATGAGTAGGGAGAGGGCAGGGGACTGGGGTGGGGCCAGGGGGATGGGAGTAGGAGTTGGCCCCTAGGGTGGACGCTGAGGTGGGGGTTGGGGCCGGAATGTCTTTCAGGCTAAGGGTCAGCCTGGCTCACTTCCTGCCTTCCCCAATCTCCCATTCTCTTTTTAGGTCAGTGAGGGTTTCAGTTTTGATTCTCCTCCCAAGATCTCAGAAAAGAAACTCAGTATTTCTGCTGGGAACCAGGGGACTATGTAATCCCAGGTGGGACCTAGGGCACATCTTAAGCAGCAGGGGCCCTGATGGAGCCTGGCAGTCTCTCAAGAGATCTCAGGCTGAGCCACAGCTGGAGCAGGACTGGGTTTGCCATGCAGACCTGGGGTCTGAACACACACAAAGCAGCAGGACCCTTCCTGGGGAAGGAAACATCCAAACCTGCCCAGCACAGCCCCATGTCCCCTCTGTGTCCCCCTGGGCTGCAAGTGGCTCTGCACTTGGGTGACCTGTTTCCACCACAGTCAGCTGACTCTGCTGGGGGCCAAGGGGGTCTCTGCATCTGCTTCACCTGCCAGCCCTCTGGGGTTCCTCCAGATCCCTGTTTCCACTGCCCACAGCACAGGGCTCAAGTTCTGCTTGCTGCTTCTGTGTGATCAAGGTCTCCACCAGGACCTTACCTGTCCTCTGTCCTGGATCCAGCAGAGCTCCTGGCCCTCCTGTGCAAGGGCCAGGAGCCGACAGCCTGTTAGGCTGGCCCAGTTTAGGGAGCAGGGCAAGCTGAGCTGGGGCCCAGATCTTGGGCAGGTCTTGGGGCCTGGACAGGTCTTCCTGTATGGGGCCCATTCCAACATTAGTGCATTTACAGCTCTGCTGGAGGTGGGAGGCCTCTGCAGGATCAGGGTTCTGAGGGGCCAGGAACCAGGGGCTTCACTGGGAAAACAGCACTGCATTGTAAAGATACCCCCAGGATGGGAAGGGTCTGCCCAGGGAAAACGCTGCCCTTGCTCCCTCCATTCCACTCTCCTTCCTTGCCTTGTTCCAGAACACTGAACACCCTGATAGTGCCCTGCTGCGTGCTGGGATGAAGAGAGAAGGAAACAGTGGCCCAGCACCAGCACTCAGCCACAGGACAGGGTGGCCCTCTGGGCCCAGTGGAGGGGCCCTGGAGGAGGAGATTCTGGGAACCTGCAGAAGATAGGAGGGGAGGAACTGAGGTGATGGTCACCTCAAAGCCGATCCCTGAGTCCTGATAAGAGGAGACAGGATGGAAAGTGCTGCACACTGCTAGTTCCGTGAGCCCCCGGTCAGAAGTGCGGTCAGCTGACCTGCAGCGCACCAGCTTCCTGCCAGAGCTGGGAGCCTGTGGACCCAGGTGCTGCTGGGGACTTGCCTGAGCTCGGAGGTGCTCAGGCTGCAGAAGTGTGACCCAGTCCTGTCCAGGCAGCATTTCCAGCGCTTGAATAGTGACCTGAAGTCACAGGGCAGCCATCGTCCTCCATTCTCACTCTTCTACCTGAAGCACAGCTCCTGCTGGCTGGCACCACAGGTGCCTGGAAGGTAGTATCGAGGCTGAGAAGATCAGGGGTAGAGTGCAGCTGTGAGCCCTGCTGCCACCTTGCCGTGGAGGTGGAGCTCTGCACCTGAGGAGGGCAAGTGTCCCTATCCCTATCCCAGTCTCCTCAGATGCCAAGTCAGATGGAGATTTCAATAATGAGCTATTTCATATAAGGCCAAGGTACTACATGCTGGTACTTCGTGAAGTTGATCAGAGTTAGATCTAGTAATAGCCACCCAGTCAGGACTGAGGGCAGTGGGCAGCAGGGAGGACTTTGCCCCGATCTAATTTTGGAGTTGGGGCTAATGTACCTGAGATTGCCTAATGGAGATCCAGCTTGGCCCTGATGCCTCCCAGGAACTCCAGCCCTGTGTACTCTCCTCTGACCAGGATCAATGAGGAGCTGGGCGGTGCTCAGGAGCATCACCCTAACTTCCCCAGAACCCAGGGAGGACACCCTGTGGCTGATCCACTGCACCAGCTGAGGAGCCTGAGACAGAGCAGGAGGTAACTAAGTGCAGCCAAGCTCCCTGTGCCTGGTGGACAAGAAGCGAGAGCCAAGGTCAGGCTTTCTGTGAGCAAGGGCCTGGTGTTAGGAGTGCATTCTCCAGAGCTTTGAGACTGTCTTAGTTACTTTTTATTCATTGCTGGGACAAATACCCAACACTCAAAATGAAGGAAAGGAAAGGTTTATTTAGCTCACAGTTACTGGAGGGTTCAGTCCATATTCTGCTGGCTCCAAGGCAAACAACAGCAGTTCATGCAGCAGAAAACAATGAAGAGCAGAGGAGAAGCAGCAGCTATGGCGGTGTCCATCAAGCCTCTCTCTTCCTTCCACGCTGACTGTGAAGATTGGTGCTCTTCCACAGTGGCACAGCCACCAAGATCAAGCTCCTCCAAAGACTGAGACTTCTCCATGGAAGCAGGCAGGCAGCAGGAAACCAGGCAGGGCAGCTTCTTGCCTTTCTCAATTCTTGGGCCCTGCCCACCAGCAGGGCTAGCCCTCCCCCCTCCCCTGCCTTTCTCAATTCTTGGGCCCTGCCCACCAGCAGGGCTAGCCCTCCCCCCTCCCCTGCTGAGAACTGCGGGGAGCTGATTCAGCCAAGTTGACACAATGTATCAACTAACACAGAGACTCTGGTTATGTGCAGCATATGCGTATTTCTCCTTCCTGCTAGGGACAAAATTAGACCTCCTCCCCCAGTTCCTATGCTGATGGCTGAACCAGAGGAACTGCCTTTGGGGCAGGGTCTGGGGGCTGTGGAGCCCTCAGGGAAATCGGGATAGGCAGGTTCCCATCATGACCAAGGGAACCTAAACGGATCCAATGTTTCCTACTGCGTGTCTCCTTTTCCCTGCCTTGGAAGCAAAGACACCTTGAGATGAGCTTTCTACTATCTGTCCCTCTGTTGTCCTTGTCTATCTCCTGCTATAAAATCAGCTTCTTCTACTTGGCCTTCGGATGGGTCAGTGGAGGGCCACAGAGGCTTGGCCCCAGGATGGCTGAGTTAGTCCACACATTAGGATGCCACAGGTGTGAGCAGAGTCAGGTTTGCTTTTCTATACCGTGGCCTTCAGTGTGCTTCTTCTTCCTGCTCTTATAATAGCTGGGTGGCATTTGAAGCCTCCTTCCTATCCTGTCTTCCTCTCTTTGTTCCCTTTCCTCATGGAAGGCCCTAGAAAATGCACCTTCCTTTTGCTCTGTTCCCCTTGGCATCCATCCCTCCACCCTACAGTCATCCTTTCCTGCTGGGTTTGCATGATTCAGTGGGTGACCTCCTGTCTTAGTTACTTTTTACTCGTTGCTGGGACAAATACCCGACACTCAAAATGAAGGAAGGGAAGGTTTATTTAGCTCACAGTTACTGGAGGGTTCAGTCCATATTCCGCTGGCTCCAAGGCAAATGACAGCAGATCTTGCGGCAGAGAACAATGAAGAGCAGAGGAGGAGCAGCAGCTGCGGTGTCCATCAAGCCTCTCTCTTCCTTCTACGCTGACTGCGAAGACCGGTGATTGTAGCTCCTCCAAAGTGACACAGCTGTGAAGATCAAGCTCCTCCCAAGACTGGGACTTCTTCATGGAAGCTTGGCAGGGTGGCAGGAAGCTGGGCAGGGTGGCAGGAAGCTGGACAGGGCAGCAGGAAGCTGGGCAGGGTGGCAGGAAGCTTTTCTCAATTCCTAGGCCCTGCCCACCTGCAGGGCTAGTCTCCCACACTGAGAACTGCCAGAGCTGATTCAGCCACGTTGACACAATGTATCAAGTAACACAGTTGACAAGGGGTGCCTTGTCAACTTGGCAACTAGACATATACTTTTTAAAGCAAATTTCCATGTACAGGGGCTGGTGAGATGGCTCAGTGGTCTAAAGCGCCTACTTAGAACAAGCTAAGCTAAGCAAAGCACAGGGACCGCGGTTCAATCCCCCAGCACCACATGCCAGCCAGCCCTGCCCCCTGGTGGGCTGAGCTGGCCACACACACACACACACACACACACACAAATAAAATAAAATTAAATTAAAAAAAAAAATTTCCATGTACATACACATGTTTAAACATTTTACAACTTGAACATTGTATAACATTAGAACCATGACATGTTGCCCCTGGCCCTCCAAAGACTCGTGCACATCCATTTATGCAAACGACATGTTAGTCCATGTCTAAGAGTTGCCAAAGTCGTACCAGTTTCAGCAACACTGAAAAGTCCAAGTCCCAAGCTTCCAAGATCTTAGGCAAACTCTTAGCTGTGAGCCCCTCAACAAATGAAAAGTTAAACTCTTCTAACATTCAAAGGCACAAGATAAGCACTGCCATTCCTGTATACACAAGCAGAATACAAACAACTGGGATCAAAACAAGTCCAAAGTCCAGAGTGGCAAATGTTAAGTCCTGTAGTTCCCTGTGGACCATTCAAAGCACACTATAATGAGTTGTGAGCTCCAAAAGCCTTACGTGGCTCCACCCCTACGGCACTTCTGCTGGTAGCTCCTAGGGCTTTTCTCTCAGGCCTGCTTTGCTCCCTTTTTGCAGCTTTTCTTAGACCATCCACATTACTGGTTTTTTCAAACTTCTGAGGTTTCCACTGGATAGGCTTCTCAGTCACAGCTTCACACACTGCCCTCTTGGGGACACAGTGCCCGGCCTCCCAGGCCTTCCTCTGAAATCTCAGTGGAAGCCTTCCGAACCTCAGAACTCCTGCATTCTGCATGCATCATCAACCAAATCCATGTGGATGATGCCAAGGGCTGCTGCCAGCTGGAGTAGTAATCAAGCGTCCTTCTCTCTTGACTGTAGGAGTTGAGTGCCTGGATTGCTAAGCATTCTGATTCCAAGAAACAAATTCTTTTTTTTTTTTTTTTTTTTTTTTCAAGAAACAAATTCTTTATGTTGGCACCATTCTGTAATCTGATGTTGCCGCCACCTCCATTCTGAAACATGGTGTGGTCGCTGCCTCCATTCTGGAGCATGGGGCTCTGCAGCTTTCTCCTCAAAGCAAAGTCCTTCACCCTTGCAATTCTGAGGCTGCAAAGAGCAAGAACCTGCCACCTCCCGTGATGCCCTCAGGACATCTTTTCTACTCTCCTGTTCCTTCTCAGCAATGGAGATCCTCTCAGCTTTGTCTTCACAGTCCACAGCCTTCCTGGCACTTCTTTTCTGGACAAACTCACAACTTATTAAATCATCCTTTTGGGCTCCTTGCTCTTCATTCTTAACATAAATCTGGCTAAAAGCTCGCAACAACAACCATGCCACTTCCCCAATATTTGGCTGCTTTGAAATTTCTTTTTCAAGATTAACTAGTCCATTGTACTTAATCTCAGTCTCAGGCAAAGTCTCTGGACAAGAACAAAGTGCAGACAAACTTTTTGCCAATCTATAACACAAATCATCTGCAGTCCAACAACCAATGCTGTCCTTCTTCCCAGCAGAAACCTCCCCAGCCTGGTCCTTACAGTCAGGCTTCCTATCAGCATTCTGGTCTGAGCTCTGACCAGAAGCTCCCAAACAGAACAGCCAAAGCTGTTTCAGCGCTTCTCTTGCAGGCGACATCTCTGAACCTTTCCTATCTCTTCCCATAAGCCAGTCCCAAAAGTTTGTAATCCACACTGTCAGGTATAGCCACAGCAATGACCCACTCTTGGTACCAAATTCTGTCTTAGTTACTCTTCTTGTGTAATGAGTCAACTCACATTTTAGATTATAAATATAAATCTTGTGCTTTCTGTTATAAAAATGTATACTTACCACTGTTCTAAGTTGTTTAGTAACTAGTGGCTGTTTCTTACTGTTTGCTAGATAAAATCCCTGTGACCCTCTCCAATTCCTGTCTGCAAAGTTAGTTTTACAGAGATGACAAAGGAAACTAACTAGGCTTTATCTTCTTGTAACCTCTGGGCTATGCAAGGCCGCCTGCCGGTACTCAGGTGAAAATTAACCAGAAACTGAAACAAAGGCCCCGGAAATGTAGCTTGAGTTGTGGTCCCAAATCACTCTAAAAGCATTGTTTTGTGTGAATAAATTTGTTTACCAAACAGAATGTGGTTTCATGTTTTAAAAGCTCCCTGCTTCCTGGGCTAGCCGCCTTTGGGTTCTCTCCTGTGCGAGAGCAGACTGGGGGGCCCTAAGCTCAGTAATAAATGGCTTTCCAAATTCCAACCTGGCTGATCTGGTTCCTATTCTGAGTGACCCATAACAATTGCTGGGACAAATACCTGACACTCAAAATGAAGGAAGGGAAGTGTTATGGGTCAACTCTGCAGAGCAACCAGATCAGCCAGATAGAAATTTGAATAGAGCCTTTTATTTACTGAGCTCAGGTCCGTCAGCCACTTTTCTCACAGAAGGCTGATCAGCCCCGAACGTATGTAGCAGGGGGTGTTTATAACAGAAATCACATCCAGTTTGGTAAGCAAACTTGTTATCTAGTACAGAACAACAGAAACTGCATTCATTTGACACAGCTGCAAACTATTCATAACTAAAAGGTCTTTCACAGCTTAGTGATAAGTGCATAGTTTTACAAGATACATCTTAAGCTGACTATGTTACAGAAGATGGTTGGGGAGGGAGTTTGTGTTAGCTTGCTGCCTTGACAAGAAACAGTTATTTATTGTTGAACAGGCTTGAGCCAAAAGGGAGAACACATTTCTTAGAGCAGATAACAGGAAGCACAAGGGGTTTTTATAATTTTTCACAATTAAGGCACAAAGCTCTATTAACCCTTTACAGGAAGGTTTATTTAGTTCACAGTTACTGGGGGGTTCAGTCCATATTCCGCTGGCTCCAAGGCAAACAACAGCAGTTCATGCAGCAGAAAACAGTGAAGAGCAGAGGAGGAGCAGCAGCTGCAGAGTCCATGAAACCTCTCTCTTCCTTCTACTCTGACTGCGAAGACAGACTGGCAATTGTAGTTCCTCCAAAGTGGCGCAGCTGTGAAGATAAACTCCTCCAAAGACTGGGACTTCTCCATGGAAGCAAGGCAGGGCAGCAGGAAGCTAGGCAGGACAGCAGGAAGCCGGGTGCAGGGTGCCAGGAAGACTTTCTCAATTCCGGAGCCCTGCAAATGTGCAGGGCTAGGTCCCCATGCTGAGAACTGCCAGGGCTGATTCAGCCAAGTTGACACAATGTATCAACTAACATACCTCCCTAAATACACACCAGCCTGCATCCATTACCTGTCGGGGTCCAGTGACGTTCCCTCAGTTCTATCCCCCAGTAGATGTGTTACATGCCAGGCCAGAACAGGGACTCGCTCGGCCACCCTTGCACCTGGTGAGACGCCACCACAACAATGACCACTGCTTGCACACTGCACACAGGTCCTGCTCTCCAGGGTCCGCCCCATCCCCCGTGGTGACTCCTAGAGTTGCTAGGTCCTTTCCCAGCATCTGGTCCTTTCCTGGTTTGGCTGACCGGGAGGGTGGAGGACAAAGTTGTGGCAGTGCTCTTAGCTCTTCCCTCCTCCTTCCCTCTCTGTGCTTGAACACCCAGAGGCCAGGTCATAATTTTTGAGATGGCTGATCAAGGTGCTCTGCCAACTGTGGTTGCTTTTTCTGGAGTCCGGGACAGCCTGACACGTGAGCAGGACTGGAGAAAATCACCCTGCCCTTCACAGTGGGGGGTCATATCTGTGCATCCTGTGGGTGGCTGCTCCCACCTCAGAGTCCTGCTCAGAAGGGCCTACTTCTGCTCCGTGACAGCAGGCTGTGCACAGGAGGCTTTTTTAGAAGATGCCAGACACAGCTAAGAGCAAGGAAGCCAGTTTTGTGTTGTGATACCTCTGGCCAATGCATGTAATCTTTTTATAATAGTATTTTCTTTATTTTTATTTTTTAAAAAATTTTTATTTATTTATGTGTGTGTGTGTGTGTGTGTGTGTGTGTG